GACGTGACCCCGACTTTTATATTTTACCAAAAAACTGGGTAATAATAAATGTTTCCTAACATAATGTAAAAAAAAAATTTTTTTTTCAAAATTTTCTGTAATTTTTCCTAATTATAGTAAAAAATAAATACCACCAAAAGAAAGCTCTATCTGTCCCCAAAAAATGGTATAAAATTCATTTCAGTACAGCGTTGCATGACGGAATAAATGAAAAATGGCCTGGCCAGGAAGGGGGTGTAAACATCTGGTCTTGAAGTGGTTAACTCACTTCACTTTGGCTCGGTTATATTTACTCGGCTGCCTTCGGCAGCTTAGTGAATGACCCCCTAAGTTTGTTATTACCTTGGATTGATGTCTGCATTGATCTGCACCAGGGAGTCTAGCAGCTGAGCGAAGATAAAATCAGGTGAGTCGGATGGGGTCATCTTAACACCAACTGCACAAAGGAATGAATAACATATTAAAATGAATATATAAAATAACAAATACATAGTCCAATGAATGATTTAAAAAGCACACGAAAAACAAAGCTATGAAAAAATTAAATTATCGATCAGTCAATGAAAAAAAACAAAAAGCCTGAAGTAGTAGTTGCTATAGGTAACAAAGATAATCACATTATCCAAGCTGAACTCCAGGCATTTATAAAGGCAACATTAATGCTGCTCTGTATTGATATATCATTAAATTAATTTTTTTTTACTTTTTTAATTAATTTTACAAGAAATGAAATAGGCCCTTTAATGAAAACTACAACATGAAAGAATACCAAAGAGTCAAGTTTACAGTTATCATATGTAAAGTGACAATGTAAGGTGGAATTGTTGGTTTCTTCTAAATATGCATATAGGACCAAAAAATACAGACAGAATAACAAAACCCAGAAAATAATATTTATGCTGTGTTGCATCTATAACTAGAATATGCATAACTATAGAACAATGACAGTGCCTTTGTCCTTTTGACAGGGGCGTCCAGAGACTGGGTGACACCCAGAGCGGTAACCGAGTGTCATCGGGGCAGTATTCTGATCCTTGCCGGTGGCCATCTTGGTGATGGACGCCGGCAGGGAGAGGAGGGGACAGTCACCCGGCAGGATAAGGTATGCTGCCGGGTCCCCTACTCTCTCCTGATACTGTCGGGTGTTCGGTCCATGACCGAGTGCCCGACTTTTCAGATTTTTCAGAGGGGGGTGACACCAAAATGACTCTGAGTCA